AAAAAAAAAAAAAAAGGCCTGGCATGGTGGCTCACACCTGTAATCCCAGCACTTTGGGAGGCCAAGGCGGGATATCATGAGGTGAAGAGATTTAAGACCATCCTGGTCAACATGGTGAAACCCAGTCTCTACTAAAAATACAAAAATTAGCTGGGTATGGTGGCACGTCCCTGTTAGTCCCATCTACTCGGAAGGCTGAGGCAGGAGAGCAGCTTGAATACGGAAGGCGGAGATTGCAGTGAGCCGAGATTGCGCCACTGCACCCCAGCCTGGCAACAGAGTAAAATAAACCAAAAAAACCCCCAAAACCTAGATTATATTCTTATTGCCTATCCTTTCTCTTCTTCTTCTTCCTCACCCTGTCTTATGGGCTGATTGTTTGATTAATTGTACACATTATTTCTTGTCTTTCTGCTGTGAAACATGAGAATTTAGCTCACTAATACTATTGTTTCCCCCCATTGTAGCATATCTCACTATTTTAGTTCTCTTGGTTACCATTGAAACTTTAAATAACATGCGATTCCTCTCTTCTTAGCTCCGCCCACCATCTCCTGTATCCTCTTATGTAAAATGAGGATAACTCCATAGGTCCGGGTGGGCCAGCAGGGTCTGGGCCTGGGCTACCACAGAGCAAGCAACACAGCATTCATCAAAGTTTGTGCACTTAGGCTGGGCATGGTAGCTCATGTAATCCCAGCATTTTTGGAGGCGGAGGTGGGTGGATTCCTTGAGGTCAGGAGTTGAAGGCCAGCCTGGCCAACATGGTGAAACCTCATCTCTACTAAAAATAAAAAATGAGCCGGGCGTGGTGGTGTATACCCATAATCCCAGTCACGGGCTGAGGTGGGAGAATTGCTTTAACCCAGGAGGTGGAAGTTGCAGTGAACCAAGATCACACCACTGCACTCCTGCAGCCAAGATCACGTCACTGCACTCCCGCCTGGGCGACAGAGCAAAACTCCATCTCAAAAAAAGGGGGAAGAATACTAGGTAGCTCACAGAATCAAAGAAAAGCCAAAGGAAAAGTTGAGTAACGAGAACTCAGAAATAATAGAATTCAGGCCCATTCGGGGACCCTCAAGGATCTTATTTTGGGGACATTGACATCACCTTCATCAGGACCATCTTTCAGGTCCAGGCAAAAATGAAAGCTGTATTTCTTCTGTATTCCTGTACTTGTTAATACAGTACATCATGTATACTTCAGGAGAAATACAGCTTTTATTAATAACGATCTGTTAATAATCTGGCCAGGCAGCTGGGGGTGGTGGCTCACACCTGTAATCCCAGGCCAAGGAAGGGGGGTTGGATCACCTGAGATCAGGAGTTCAAGACCAGCCTGGCCAACATGGTGAAACCCCATCTCCACTAAAAATACAAAAAATTAGCTGGGCGTGGTGGCAGGCTCCTGTAATCCCAGCTACTTGGGAGGCTGAGGCAGGAGAATCACTTGTACCCAGGAGGTGGAGGTTGCAGTGAGCCGAGATCACACTATTGCACTCCAGCCTGGGCAACAATAGTGAGATTCCATCTCAAAATAATGATAATAATAATATCAAGATCAGCCTGGCCAAGATGGTGAAAGCTCATCTCTACTAAAAAATACAAAAAATTTAGCTAGGCATGGTGGTGCATACCTGTAATCCCAGCTACTCGGGAGGCTGAGTTGGAGGATTGCTTAAACCCAGGAGGTGGAGTTTGCAGTGAGATTGCACCAGTGCACTCCAGCCTGGGTGACAGAGGGAGATTCCATCTCAAAAATAAATAAATAAATAATAAAATATAATAATAATAATGATAATCTGCCTAGGGGTCCATGTGCTAGTTCACCCAGGTTTTCATTCCTGATGACTCAAAGGGAGTCTTGATTGGTTGGATTTGGTCACCTGGCCACCCGTTGGGGAAGAGAGAAGGACCTAGTGACTCACAGTCCACCAAAACCATATGGCATAGGATAGAGGAAGTCCCCCAAGAGAATGGGAAGTTGTGGCTGGGCAAGCAGAAACAAAAGATATCCATTGTATTCACAAGGACTAGGTTCAGTGCACATGACAGAGACCTAAAGTGGCAATAGTTTAAACAAAATTAAAGTTTTTTTTTTTCTCTCTTGCAGGTAAAAATCCAGAGGTAAGTAATCCAGGCAGGTACATGGCTCTTCTCCATGAAGCCTGGTGCCCCAGCCCCTTCCTCATGGGCCAAGATGGAGCTCTAGTCAACACTTCTAAGGTCCAAGCACAGGATGGAGAAATAGAGATAGAAGGGGACAAGAGAGAATGCTAAGTGTTTCCTCTGGATGATTCTGGGAAGCGATTGTACATCTTACATC